CATTCATCATGAATTTCTTCCTCCTAACATGACTGTCAATGGACAGTTCTACACAGAAGTTCTTGACCAACTTCGAAAACGAATTCGTAGAGTGAGGCCTCATTTTCAACAAAATGGGAGTTGGCTGCTGCTACATGACAATGCCCGCCCACACATTGCATTGCCTGTGAGTCGATTCTTAGCCCAGCATGGTGTCGTTGAAATGCAGCATCCACCATATTATCCAGACCTAGCACCCACAGACTTTTTCCTGTTTTCTAAGCTGAAAAATTCACTGAAGGGAACAAGATTTCAGTATGTCGAAGCCATCAAAAAAACTGTAACGTCACTATTAAAGAGCATTCCAAAAGAGGACTTTAAAACTTCTTTTTCAAAATTTGTACAGCCGAGCACAGATGTGCATTGCGGCAGATGGGGATTACTTTGAATCATATTAAATGGCTATGTGTTTAATCTTTTTTTCTTCTGAGTTATTCCATGAATCCTGGAAATTAATAGCCGGACCTTGTATAAAATTCATAACATTATCCCCTTCCCAAGGACTTCATGTTCCAAGCAGTACAATCCCTGGGCACGAAACTTGCTTACAACTAAAAATCCATGCAATACTAAAACAATAATTTCAATAAATAATGTACAACAAATTGAATACTAAATTAATAAATAAATGTAGGAATTTATAAATTTATATGCAAAGAGGATTATGCACTTAGTATATTATTTACATCACATCCCTTATGGGGACTACATACTCTAGCCATAGTAAGGGGCTATCCTGTTGTAATGGTTAACTTAAGGCTTAAAATTTGAGGATTTATGAATCTGAGCTATAATGTCATTCAGCCTGCTTAGGATTGTGTAGGGACTGTCTGAGGGTTACTGCAGCATTCCTTTCTTCATCTCTTAGTTGTGCATTCTGTAATAACTTCAATGTTAGGCATTGTGAAGATGCTGGCACTAGGTGACTACTAATTCATATAATGAAGCTCACTAGAGTGCATGCTGTAAGCACTTCAGATGGTGAAGACGAAGATGCTGGCTCTAGGGGACTACTGGTGCATTTAATGGAGTTCACTAGAGTGCATGGTGCAATCACTTAACCTTTCCTAATGACTTTCGCCTTATTACTTACATTGGCAACTGTCCCTGCAGGTAACGGTCCTTGATAGGTCAACAAGTGCCGAGGCTACTCATACTCCTTTCCGACTGTTAAACTTCTTATGATATTCATTTATGCTATACCGGAAATTTGTGTTTCCAAGTAGTAAAACTTCTGTTCTTGTTCGTACTGTGATGCCCTCTTTAATTTTTATTTGGTGTATGGATTTAACTTCCTTTATCATTAATTCAGAACAGGGCCTCAGAGGCAGAATGTAGTTTGTTATTTCAAAGTCAAAGGAAAAATTGTATTTCCTTAGAAAGTCTAATCTGAGTATGCAAGGGTCTGTAATATTTGCCGCACATGCCCTGTGATGGCAGGCGGCCCTTCCAAATATGATGCTAACATTTAACTTTTTGATGATAGCATTTTTTTATCATCGGACAGAGTCTGGAAAGTAATGCAGGGGGGCATCCAGATGCATTTACCTTCCACTTGTTGAGCCATAGCTTTTCAGATGTTGGTAACATTGGTTCCTGTATCAATGGTAATAGTGCAAGAAACCCATTTTTATATCCCATGGTGAAGAGTCTATTATTGCCACCACTCACTGCAGAAATCTGAAGAGCTTTAAAATGGGACTTTTCATTATTTGGCAATTTCCACTCCTTGATATGGCTACTAATTTGTTTCTTTCCCCCTTGCTGGAAGCAGTCTTAGCATCCATGGCTTGGTGTGTTCTGAGATTCCTTCATATGTGGCATTCACCACTGCAGTTCAAGCACTTAGTGTTGGTTTGTTGCCATTCCAATTTCACTTCAAGGCATTGACTTGCCTGGTTAATTAGTCTAGATGTGCAGTCACTTCATCCACTGGCTCCTGGAGAGTAGCAACTCTGATTGGGTGGTCTGTACAGGTTACTTGCTGGGCTGTCTCAAATTTCATGAAGGGTACCAAAATGCTTTTCAGATTTTTGACATCTTGCATTCACAGGGTTTTCTGTATCTTAGGATCCTGACTACTACTAAGATATCTCTTGTTTCTGTTGGACAATCCAAAAAGGCAAGATGAGACAACCTTTCAACAGCCATGATGAGTTGCTGGAGTGTTTGCATGGGCTTCAGTTGGCAAGATTTTAACTAAAGCTGGATATAATCTTTTAAACACTTCTTGCCAAAGCACAGCTCCAGTGCACCAGATAAGGCATCAAAGTCTAGTCTCTGGTTTTGATGCAGAGTTTGGATGATATCTGCTGCTTCTGCTATCAGAGAAGCAACAAGATGGCAGGCTCTAGCTTCAGAATCCCATCCCTTTGCTACTATAGAGAATTGAGCTTTTTACACTTATAAGAGATCTTTCCATTATAAGCTTTATAGAGATTCAAGAAGACATGGTTAGAAATTTAAAGGCATCAGAATTGTGTCCAGCTGTTATTGTAAATTTCTTCAAGCTGTTTGCTTACTTGGAGAAGCAGCAGAAACTCTTTCACCTGTTTGTTGTTTAACAACAAAAACTATTTCTTTGATTTGTTGTGGAAGAGCAGAAACTTTTCAAATTGTTGTTCACTATGGTCAATAGCAGAAACTCTTTCTTGAATTTCTCCAACCGTGTCTATTCTGCCTTTCATAGACTCAAATTTGTTTTCGATTATGGCAGTAATTTTTCTTTTCATTTCCTTTTAATCCGCTTTGACCTGCTTTCATCTTTGTTTTTAACAGTGGTGATGGCCCCTTTCATCTTTTATTGAATGAACCTGACGTCCCCTTTTATCTCGTCTAGGAATGGCTGTCACCATCTGTCATAGCTGCTCCTCCATTGCTTTCAGTCCCACTTTTGATATCAAAAACTGTTACTTGCATACTGGTTGATAATGGATTGAATGCACACTGAACCAATAATAGTTTAATAAAATTTATTTTCCGAAAGGAACAATTTACAGTTCTGGGATTTTCCAAAATGTATTTGTACCACTTGTCTCAGTCTGACAAAGCACAGTCAGTAATTACCACTTCAAATTACAAAGGATGTTTAATGCATCACAATGCAAAGTACATCTAAAGAGCAAAGCTTGCACAAAGATCCTGAGATCTCTCAATACTCTGAAATCAATTCTAAACTAAAAACTTAGGACTAATGCTGTCTCCTTTTTTATATAGTTTTTCCACTGGCCACAAAGGAATTTCCAGCACCTTCCATTTCTCAAAATTACTAGAAAACATACACTCAAGAGCCAAAACATTATGACCAGCCCTACATTTTGTGATGAACGTGCCTGGATGACATGGAAGGCACGTGATGAGGTGGAAGTGGTATTTAACTGCTGCTGGAGAGTCTGACTTCTGTGTGTGATGGGAAAGGCTGCGGATCTAAGCGACTTTGATAGAAGGCAGATTGTAATGGCTCAAAGGCTCGGAACAAGTATTTTCGAAACTGCACGACTCGTGGATTGTTCGCGATCTACAGTTAGTACGTATGAAAAGTGGATAAATGACGGTGAAACCAGTAGTAGACGACATGTTGGTGGACGTCCACATGCTACCAAAGAAAAAGGTCATCGGAGACTGTCTCGCATGGTGAAGCAAAACCGGAGCCAGACAGTGGTTCAGCTGACAGCCGAGTACAATGCAGGGCCAAGTAGAAAAATATCAGAGCACACTGTTCAGCGGACACTGTTGGATATGGGGCTACACAGCAAACGTCCCACTCGTGTGCCTTTGCTGACCAAGCATCATCGCCAACTGCACCTGCGCTGGGCCCGGGAACATCGTGACTGGTCCATGGATCAGTGGGAGAGAGTTGCCTGGTCAGATGAATCACGGTTTGTCATTCAGCACGCTAATAGCCGTGTCAGGATACGCCGTCTTCCAGGCGAACAGTTGCTCCCTCAATGCACAGTAGGTCATACACAGGCCGGTGGTGGCGGTATTATGCTCTGGGGGACGTTCTCTTGGGCGTCTCTGGGACTCGTGGTTGTGGTAGAGCAGACCATGAATGCTACTGGGTATCTGAACATCATTGCGGACCAGTTGCACCCTTACATGGCCTCTGTTTTTCCAGCTGGAAATGGAATGTTCCAACAGGACAATGCCCCGTGTCACAAGGCTACAATTGTGTTGGAGCAGTTCCAGGAACATGATGCTGATTTCCAGTTAGTGTCCTGGCCACCTAACTCACCGGATCTCAATCCGATAGAACACATTTGGGATGTTATGGGACCGCAGCTCAGAGGTCAAAGACCACCAATTGGGAATATCTCGGATTTGCGTGACCGTTGCTACAACATCTGGTACAATCTGTCTCCGGCCATCTATCAAGGACTTATGGCATCCATGCCAAGGCAGGTTGAAGCTGGGTTGCGCGCCAAGGTGGCCCAACTCGTTATTGACAGGTGGTCATAATGTTTTGGCTCTTGAGTGTATGTGGCTAAAATTATATATGAAGTCCAGTTACATATAGTAATCTATTACAGTTATTCAATTAACTGAATAACTGTAATAGATTACAGTTATTCACTGTAATAGATTACAGTTATTTATTATTATTATACTAGTACAAATGGCAGTTATAGAGGAGCTGAACCAAAAACGTCAGCAAGTTTGGTGCAAAAAAAAAAAATTGCTAGAACCATGGCCAACTTGCTGATTTATGTCACCAATTTAACAAAATAGCCATTTATCTCAACGTTAAATGGACTTGTCCCTGTAACCATATTTTTCTGGCAGAGCTTCAATCTCTTCAGACGTTTCTTGTTACATTATATAAAAGCATAACAGTATGAATGGAATTGATATTAAAAGTGATGAATGGGTATGTATTTTAGTCACATGTTTTATAGCTTTTGAGATGTTGATAGTGGATTAAAAACATGGCTATGTGATATTTATATACGCTTCTTTTTTAGATCCCACCTGGAACATCTTCACATAAAGTGTTCAGGTTTTCTGGAAAAGGAATTAAGCAATCAACTGGTTTTGGCTATGGTGATCATTATGTTCATATCAAAATTTCAATTCCCCAGTTAGTAAACTCTTTTAATTTATTTTTATTTTTAATCCTTTAAGTAGTTTTAAATGTATGTGTTTTTCTCTTCCACATTTTAAGAATTAAAATTGCTATCAATGATGTTTTAAGGTTTATCATGATATACATCTTGTTGCATCAGAAACAAAATGCCTGACTTGCTGTATCTCAAGCTAAAAACTACATGAAAATATCAGTTCTGGACTTCATATATTCAGGCATTCATGGATCGATTGGCACAGCATCACTAGGAGGAAAGAAATACTTCATTCATTAATGATTATTAGAGATACACTATGATCTTTATGCTAGCTATAAAAGATGATGCTATCTATAAGCAGTTTGTAACCATGACAAACAAATTTAGAAAGAAGCTAAAAGTCTTAAAAACGGACACTGGGAGAAGAATATCCAAGCAAAAGTGATTGACCAATACCTAAAAGAAGAGGGTATCGAGCATCAAACTTCTGTAGCATATTCACCACAACAGAACCATCGATTCGAAAGAAAAAAATTCAATACAGTATGGAAATCACAAGCTGCCTATTACTTGGATCAGGACTCAAAAGGGAATTTAGAGATGAAGCTGTAATGACAGCCACCTATCTAGAAAACAGACTACCATCAAGATCGAATAAAAAAAAAAAAAACACTCTATGAGCTCTGGAATAATAATAAAAAGACCAAACTTAAGCCATGTCAAAGTTTTTGACAGCATATCTTGTTGCCTAGTTTCAAAGCAGAAAACAAACAAACTTAATGAAAAAGCAGAAAAAGAAATTCTTATTGGATACAGTAACCATACTAAAGGATATAGAATTTATATGTCATACAGACAACATTGTCATCAAAAGAAGCATGATATTCAGTGAAAACAAAAGGAAGCAATACCTTCTCAGTTAGATGATCAGAATGAAAAAATACAATGGACTTTTAAAGAAAATGAACCAAGAGAATCATGCCCAGATGCTGTTACAGAAGGGGGGATAGAAACTGAAGAAACTTCCCTTTTACTGAGAAGGTCCCAAAGAACGATCAAGAGAATCCCACCAAACAGATTCTCATGCATGACAAAGAATGGAGAAATCAAAATTCCTAAAGACTGACAAGAGCTGCAAACTTTTCCAATCCTTGAAATCCGCAAAAGAAGAAATGAAATCTAAAGAGAAATAAAGCATTCGAACTAGTTGATCTTCTGAAAGGAAAGAAAGCAATTGAAAATAAATGGACATTCAAAACAAAATCCAGCATTTCAGGAAATGCTATCAGATATAAAGATAAAGGATACTACCAAAAATTTAGGCATGACTACACTTAAACTTTTGCACCAGTTATAATATATATTGCAATAAGGACTATCTTGGCAATAGCAGCTCAAAAGAATATGCATGTAAACCATTTTGAAATAAAAACAGCTTTTCTATATTGAGATCTGAAAGATGAAATATATATGAAACAACCGAAAGGTTACTTTTCATCAGGCGAAACAAACAAAATTTCTAAATTAAGCAAGAGTACCTAAGTCGTGAGCAACAAGAATCAGTTCAGGAAGTTGAACAAATTGTCAAAGAATATTTTGACATTTGAAATCTTGGAGAATTATCTACATATCAAGGAATCAAAACAGAAAGATGGAAGTTTTAAACATCATCCATCTAGCAAGATTAAGAGTATAATTGAAACATTTGATAGAAAATTAGAAAAGAAACTAAGTTATACATCCATTACATTTTATGAAGAGCAAAAGCAAATAAGAGAATAATTTTTCCAATAACCAGAATGCTGGGAAGCAGCAGGACCAATTTTATATTTAGTGAGAGTATCAAAACGGGCATTGCAAATTCTGTTGGAATACTTAGCAGAAAAGTAGAAAATCCATCAACATAAGACTGGGATAATTAAAATCATAAGATGCCTGAGAGCTACAATCAGTTACAGATTACATCTAAACTCAAATGGTAAACCAGTCATCAAATCTTACAGTGATGCTGATTGGGCAGGTGGTACCTCTGACAGAAAATCCACATCAGGATATGTATTTCAAATATGAAACAGTACAGTATCCTGAACAAACAAGAAATAAAATTGTGTTGCCTTTCTTCGACAAAATCTGAATGCATTATTCTAGCTTTAACTATGCAGGAGCTACAGTCAATGAAACAATTGATAGAAGACTTAGGTTTTGTTCAGTGGGAAGCTGACATTATACTCGAGGCAATATATTCTACATAAACCTTTTCAGAAAAGAAATATCTGATGTGGACACCACATGAATTCCTTGTATGGTCTATTTAATTATACACATCTGCTGCTGCACTTCATTAAAACTTAGTTCCTCACATTTCATTGAAAATATATTTCTAATTCAATCAATTCAATTCTCACTTTATGGCAAGGCATACATCGCAATTTTTAATGAAGATTGGGATACATAAAAAACCCAATCTTCATTAAAAATTGTAAAATACAGGAAAATGTAAAACACCAAGTACAGTTAAAAGAAAATTTATAATTAGAGTTTCTACTCAAAACCAAGCAATTCAGCCAGAGGCCAGGAAGATAAAATTTTTGGTACACAAAACTGAAAGTTAAAATTTAGTTATACTGTTCAAAAAGGTACTGAAATTGGTGCGCCAGCTGACTGAAATCTGTATTCTACTAAGAGTTTCAAATATAAACAAATGTTAGCACTTCTTAAAATTTTAAATTGTAGATAATTCTACAACTATTGCATGCAGATTAAATAAAGGTATAAAAACCTTAACTCTTAACCTTAAAATACTAAGCTCACTGAGCCAGGTTACAGAGTAGCAATATATATATATGTAAAATATAAAAAATAGGACGGCTTTGCTCTATGCGAACAAGCAACCTCTAATTAACTTTCTGCAATTTCAGGATCTCTCCCATAGACCATTACTTTTGAGAACATTCGAGCTTATTAGATAATCGCTTTTTTAAATAGAGAAATTTCGCCATTTTGCATGGGAGACCGCTTCTGCCTCTACTGCTGTTAGGATCTATGTTGCCACTCTCATCTGCCTCCCTTTTTTAGACTATAACACAATGAATTTAATCTTATTTAGTAAAAGGATGATAAAAATCTTATTTAGTAAAAGGATGAAAAAAAAAACACTGTATGAGCTCTGGAATAATAATAAAAAGACCAAACTTAAGCCATGTCAAAGTTTTTGACAGCACATCTTGTTGCCTAGTTTCAAAGCAGAAAACAAACTTAATGAAAAAGCAGAAAAAGAAATTCTTATTGGATACAGTAACCATACTAAAGGACATAAAATTTATATGTCATACAGACAACATCGTCATCAAACCAACCAAACAATATCACTTTTGAACTGAATAAAGATATGGAGCTATAAATTTAAATACTTTTTTGTGTCATCATTTCTGCCAAGCTTCTTCTGCCAAGCTTTCTGCCAAGCTTCATTCATTTCGACTGCCATGAGAAAAATTGAGGACTTTTATGATTGTAATTTATTATTTAGTACTATTCTTCCATATATTATTGTCTTATAGTTCTAAATTTGGTTATAGATTGTATGTTTATTTATAAATCAGAGGTTCCATTGTAAAATTATATAATTAAAAAAAATTTGTAATTACAGTCAAAAGTCGTTAATTCGGACACCCATAATCCGGAATGATCTATAATCCAGACCTCAAAGCTACAAACTTTCTGCACATGCGTCGTGTTGACGCACAAGACGTTTACGGCTGCGAATATGCATGTGCGCATGCGCGTTTAATGTATAACGAACGGTATAAGTGTAGAAAATGTTATGTCATGATATTCCCTAATCCCCTACTGTGTGACGTATGCATTGCGTCAGCATGTGTTTCCCGCCTTTGGGAGAAGTCGAGGATTAGCTGGCGAGCGGAGCAGATGTCGCTCGATCGCTCATATACCATTTTCATTAATTGTAATCCTAATGTAATCTATATTTGTAAATAGTAATAAATGTGTGTTATCAACTATGGTCTTTGCCTTTCCCCACATTTTGAGGGCTCGACCGTGCATTTTGTGCATGCGTTATAATCGAACCCTAGACACACCAGCAATCACTAAAGACGTTCAGAAAGCTAACAAAGGCAAGACGTGCCTTTATGACGATTTAATATTCTTCTTCAAGCCAGACGACGTATGTGAATGAAGACGTGCCTTTATGACGATTTAATATTCTTCAAGCTGGACGACATATGTGAATGATGTTACATGCTACTTGTCCATTCTTCTGATTTTGGACGTTAAATCGAAATTCGATTTTGGATTACATTGGATTGGCCAAGATATATATTGGATTATAAGGACTGCCCCGACGTTAGGTAGGCCCATTTTCCCCTGATTCGTTCATAATTTATTAGTATTACGATTTTAAGCTGTGTTTATACTGTTTAATTCTCATTCATACATACCCTATTTCATATTCATATTGTCCTATTTTACTGTTTAAAGAACTATGGCCCTAAAATTAGGTGATATCCCATTGATAGCGAATTCTCTTAAATATGGCACAACACGAGTTATTAAATTATTTAATACCGTGCTCGGATATTCCGATTTTGATCATTCTTCTTCGCGAAAGAGAATGCGAAATTTTGCCGCGTTCCCGGACAGTTTCGATTTGGCAAAACATAAAGAACTTCTATTAAAAGATTTTTCTTTATCAGATTTTATATCAGTGGCGAATTTATTGCATTTGGAAGCTTCCACTAATAAAGATGTTTTATGTGAAAAAATTTTTCATGCGCTCACTAATCTGACGGATTTTCACAATTCCCTAGATGTTAGTTTTTTATCCGATGACGATCATTCAATTTCAAACACCGACAGTGCACCGACGCCTGTAGGTCTAAGTTCTTCTGTTCCCCCCCCCTTCCCCTCCCTCCACGGCGCCAAGCCCAAATCGCGTTGTCTTCTTTCTGACGCGGAAGTAATAAATTTGAATTCGAGTCGCTCCGGTGTTTATATGACGGCGAACACCGAGATTCGCGAGATGAGTCATGACTTTATGGTTTATT